AGAGCTGAGCTAGCCGCTCGCCTGAGTGGCGTATGCGTGTTGACGGCGACTTTCCGTGTCCTTGCTGAACGTCATGTCGCTCGATGCAATGGCTGCAGCATGGGTATGGGTCAAAATAGAGGGCTTCCCTCTTTGTTTCCCTTTGGACCAACCTGAAAACCATACCCCCCCAAAAAAAATGTTGTTCCACTCTCCGAAACGTCTTGGCTGCTTTCAACGAGGCCTAGGCTGGAAACAAAATCTTGAAGTGGAATAATCCATTCAAAACCAACAGGGGGAAATAATTCCTATTCTTAAGCAAGTGCACAGATTTCTGGCTTGTCGACAAAACGACAACAAGTCTCATGACCAGGGGTGGGGGGGGAATTTGTGCTAGCTGAGTTCGGCTTCCGCAACTTTCCGGAGCCCTCCCTTCTCCCTTGCAGCCCTTGGAACCACTCCGGTTTGGGCAAAGACATTGTTACTTTCAGAAAACCTGAAAAGCAAGCCACGCAGGAGGTCTTGGCATGCGTATGGCAAGCATCCCCACCCGGTCAAAGTTGCTTGATGAACGATTTAGAAGACCAAAGGAATTTATGGAAGGATTGGGCAAGATCTCATGTTTACCTCACTTGCAAGGGTCCGAAAATAACCGGTGATACTCAGTTGGAACCAACAGATTGAACATAGAAAACGGGAAACGCAAAAGGTCAAAAGGTCTAGGTGGAATTTTCACGGTCGTAAACCCCTTTGGTGAGGTCGCTGTTTTTGTGGTATGGCCATTTTGGCCGCTGGCTTCAGTGAAATGCTTAGTTGACCAACAAAGCAGGGCTTAGCAGGGGTTGCCGAAGGCATGAGGGATCCACTGCTGGCTGGTACCCAGTCAAAAGGAAAACACATATCATAAGATTTTCAGGAGTCCCTATTTCAAGACGATGCGATCCTTGATTGATCTCCCGCACCTACAGGATTTACGCCTTTTGTTCTGAAAGTTTTGGGACCTGCGTGTCCCCTTTGGCTTCCTTTTAAAACTCTCTTGGCCCCAAGTACGGGGGACCCCAACACGGGTGGAACCCCCAACATGGGTGGCTTCCCTTTGTTTCCCTAAGCATCCGAAACGGGTACCGCCCCCTCCCCTCAACAAACAAAACACAAGCAATACACACCCGTACTTTTCGCACGGGCGAAGAGAACCTAGGTGGATCTTGGCGGGAGTTTCAAGAAGCCCGAATTCCGATGCCGACATGGTGGAACAAGCATCTGGTCTGGGAAACTTAGACTCATTCAAAGTCTGAACATAACCTTCATCACGGGTACCAACGCGCCAGAATTTGGTGAAGGTGACAGATTGTCGGCCAACAAAGAAGCGTGGCTTGGGGATTCCAGAAAATGGGGGCAGGGTCCAAGCAACTAGACCTTCAGTCGCCTGAATCACTGAAGACCCGAAACTGCGAGAGCCCGAAGGGAGCACCCAGGCTTTTCGCGCGCGTTCGCGGCGGCTTTCGAGAGAGGCGCGCCGAAGCGATTGAAACGAAGCAGGTGCGCATTTTGACCGCTCCGACTTTGGGTAGCTTGCGGGGTCTAAGGACCAGTTTCCACGCCATTGCCACATGGGTGTATGAATCTGAATGCTGATTGGAGACCCTTTGGCGTACATCATTTAGGCGGGGCTTTATGTCCACCAACCATTTGGCACGGTGTTCCCCATTCAAGAGTCATACGTAGCAATATCAGCCACGGTCAGCCAGAATCCCCTGGTTTTTGAAGGAAAAAACATGTGTCTCCCTCCTAAAAGGGCCACGTCTCACACGGATCTGCATTTGAGGCTCAGTGACCAGTGCCCTTTGTTGGATTCGAAAGGCAAACAGAAGCCAAGCCTTTTGCAGAGTCTCCCATTTTGAGACCACCACACCTCATGGGAGCATGTCAGAGACAATCTCATGATCACACCTCACCGCACAAACTAATCAGAGCTCATTCGTATGTAACTATGTACAATATTGATTCTTTTGCGCTGGCGTCACAAATTATTTCAATGATCACTCGCGAAGCATTGATAGCGCGCGCCAACGTCTCATGTCGGACTATTGGGTATATTGTACAAGTCCACAGTTCCTGACCTTTCAAGTGCAGCTCATAGATTCCCCCTTTCATGCTGGGCTTTCCGCTTGCCTTGTTTGAGCCATAGCCAGGAGTGAAACAAAGGTGCGCCCTGCTTCAAGCGGGATCTTGGCACCACAGAAACGGACAAATTCGGGTGCAGTCCCGAGAAGCTTTGCAGGTTCCTCGCGAAAATCCCAAATCTGCTGATTCTTCCCAAATGGGTCCAGTGATGCATAGGGAATCCCCCCTCCAGTGGGCCCAGTGGTTTCCTAGCGGACCTTCAGGCGCCGATTTGACTCGGTCGGCAATCGTTGCAGAGCAAACCCGCCTCTTGCCAAGTATGCGGTGAGTCTTCTATTCTAGGGAAGCCCCAAAATTGGCTTTGGTCATCAAAGTTCCAAACATGAAGTGAGCTCAAAAACACACACACACACACACACACACACACACACACACACACACACACACACACACACACACACACACACACACACACACACACACACACACACACACACACACACACACACACACACACACACACACACACACACACACACACACACACACACACACACACACACACACACACACACACACACACACACACACACACACACACACACACACACACACACACACACACACACACACACACACACACACACACACACACACACACACACACACACACACACACACACACACACACACACACACACACACACACACACACACACACACACACACACACACACACACACACACACACACACACACACACACACACACACACACACACACACACACACACACACACACACACACACACACACACACACACACACACACACACACACACACACACACACACACACACACACACACACACACACACACACACACACACACACACACACACACACACCAATGACCCATATAGTATCATTTGAGGGTACTTGGTGGTTTGGACAAGCCTGACGGAAATCAAAGCAATTGGTCAGTCCTTTGACAGTGAGACGTTCCCATATATGTATGAAATCAGTAGTTGACGCATGCAGGATCATTTGGACTAGGTCAGTCCCAATAATGCGACCCGTTTTCAGCCATTTTGAGGGGTTTGATTTGAGCCAAACTCAAACAGCGACAAGGGACACAATGTGGAGCAACGCTCATCTGGCACAAGGACTGAGGATTGATTTTGAAAACAAGTCCTTCACCAAGCACGTTCAGAAACCACGCAGCACCCATGATTGCCCGTCCAAAGCGATGGCATCGAGCGTTGGACGGATGAGCGCGTCCAAAAAGATCGATTGAAACTAGCTCAGAGTCACAATGAAACCCGAGCTATTTGGACACCAGCTCATGCTGAATGAGTTCTGGAAACCTGGTTCCTTTTGCAAAATTATGGGTTCTGTCTGTTTTCTTGAGCCTTCTTTGCTGTTGCATTTGAACAAGTCATTTGGTTTGAATGGTTTCTCGAGGACTTGTTTGTTTTGCTTTCTTACGGTGTCTTGGTTTGTTTGGTCTTCTAGAGTTTGGTTTGGTGTTTTGGCAAGAAGGGGCAGGCAGCTTGGAAGACACGATCAGCTTGTCTGTCCTTATTAGATTCTATTTAAATCCTAATTCGAATCTACTGGGAAAGGACATCCTATTTTAGTTCTAATTCAGAATAGGCTTTTAACTTGAGCTCCAAAGCCTTGTAGTTTAATACTTCTAAACCAATAGAACTGAAATTGCATGTTGCTTGAGTTTCTGTTGGCTTTCGCTCCTTTGAAGGGGCTGGCCCATTAGAAGAAACGGCCAGCTTGTCTTTCCATACTGGAATCTATTTGAATTCTAGTTCACTTCTCATGCCAGGCAGGAATCACAAGACAGGTGCTAAGATCATTGCAGATACTCAGGCTTGAATGAGGAGCAGCAATTAGCAGCATGCTACAACCATGCATGTAGAGGATCCCGTTGAGTGGATTCATAACTTGCAGTTGACACTCCTCGGCAAAGCAAGCATACGACTTGCTCGAGATATTAAGCCTCAACATCACAAACAAGTGCACTACCACAGTCCCCGAGTCTCAAAAAAGCAACCTCCAAATGGCTGGGAACCAGATTGTGACTCCGTGGCGTCTGCCGCAGTACTCTCACTCACACCTTGGCCGGACTTGGATCGACCCGCAAAACCGGGTTGTTCCCTAACTTGGGTTAGCTGGTTCCCCAACTCAGGTCTGGGTTTCTGGTTTGCTCCAAGCTCCGCGAACAAGCAACAGGCTTTTAGACCTTTTGTACGTACGGAACATCCACATGTTCCCAAAGGGCCTTTTGGGGCAATTCAGCCACGCAAACCCAGCCATGCTAAGGGGATGGCATGAACCAAAGTTGGTGCTTGAAAAATCAGAACCGGTCGGTTCAAATCAGACTCCGGATTGGCTTAGCGTCTTGGAGAAACCCTCAGGGAACCATCTTGAACAAATGAAGACAATTTGCTGATAAGGGAAAATGCAGGACACCTTAAAGGGTCCACAGGTCAGTTGAGTCAGTCAGCTAACTTCCTGCGGGTAAAGGACAGTGAAGGATACCCAACAGGGCAAACAACTTAACAAGCTGAGTCTTGTTGGCTATCGCTCGCTGCTCAGCATGTTCTAAGCTTGCTTTGGGGGAGCTGAAAAGACAGCCATATCCAACAAGAAGTTGCAAGGTGACAGATCCAAGCAAATAGCAGCCAAGGTTACTCGGGCCCTCAAACTGCCCTTCAGAAAGCAAAACACATACCATTTTGGGTCTGTGGCCCATTTTGTTGGCGGTTTGAGGTGAACCCGATGCCCTCCCAAAAAAACATGGAACCTGCACAGCTCCCGGAAGACCATCCTTTTAAGAGGACATCCTTTTTGGGAAGGCTAAATTAAGTCTGGCGACGCGTCTCACTCCAGTAGGTGGGACTTCGCGGTGGTACTCGCAGAGTCCGGGCACCAGAAGGGTAGATGCGCGGGCTCCATTCCGCAGGCTTTCAGCGCCTCCTGAAGCGAGAAGCCCGAGCTGGGCTTTTCCAACTTGCTTGATCATACCGTCATACCTCTTAAGCACACCGACAGCCCGAGAACTCATTTCACGGGCCGAGGTATGCTCAAAAGGAAAGCTCACAAGGTCTTGTTTGGACTTTGGCCTCGGTCACAAAGGTTTCTCAAAATGGCGGACGCCTGTGTTCGTGCTCATTACCTCAGGGCCACCCCGGACCACCCCGGAGCCCTTGTGGAACCCTCGTGGAACCCTCGTGGAACCTGGTGGAACCCTGGTGGAACCCTGATGGAACCCTGATGGAACCCTGGTGGAACCTTACCGTTGGGGAAAAACAGATTTCCAGTAGTGATAGAGTCCCTGTAAAACCCACAGGATACTATTACTAACAACAATAATGAACAATATAACATATCATAATGAATGATGGTAACAATAACAAATACGAGTACTACTAAAAAATAAACTAACACAATATCAGAGGGTCGCGAGAGTGGGTGCGGTAATTGGCTTGCCCCACTTGCCCCACTTGCCCCGCTTGACCCACTTGACCCACTTGCCCCACCTGCCCTGCTGCCCCACTCGCCCCACTCGCCCCACTTGCCCCACTTGCCCCACTTGCCCCACTTGCCCCACTTGCCCCACTTGCCCCACTTGCCCCGCCCGCCCCGCTTGCCCCACACAACCCACGTCCCACCCCCCCCCCGCATCACTGGCCCCAATCGATTTAGGGCAAGCTCCTGAAGCAGGGCAAGTGGGGGACCAGCGGGACGAGTGGGGCGAGTGGGGCGAGTGGGGCGAGTGGGGCAAGTGGGGCAAGTGGGGCAAGCGGGGCAAGTGGGGCTAGCAGGGTAAGCGGGGCAAGCGGGACAAGGGGGGGGACAAGGGGGGCAAGCGGGGCAAGCGGTGCAAGTGGCAAGCGGGACAAGCGGGTCGAGTGGCTCGGCTTGGGCAAGTGGAGACATGACTAAGCCTGGCGACCTGCTTTAATGTAATGTGTGTAATGTATGTAATGTGTGTGTATGCATGCATGCATTCATGCATGTATGTATGTATGCATGACGAGGCGGGCATCGAAAACTTGGCCCCATGTTCACATGACTCCGAGTTTCAGTAGGGAACCAATCAATATGGCCACCAAAGAGCCCTTGCAACAATTCACACCCACGTGTTTCAAAACAAGGGAAGTTCCTGAAATGGGTGCCCAGCTTCCCCTCTAAAACAGGTCTCGGGGTCTCAAAACAGACCCCCCCCCATAAATATTGGGCATGTCCACAGTTGGACATTTCTGGGTTACTTGAAGCTACTTTTGGACGAGCAGGGACAGGATTTGGACCCCTTAAACGAGGGTAGAAACCAGCAAACATGAACTGGGCGGGTCTCAAAATTGCCTTTAACTTCATTTGCAAGAAGTTGGACCCTTTGCAGGGAGTCAACTCACTCCCAAGTTCCTGGACTCTACTTTTTGGGTTTGGACCAGTCTGGTGGAAGCTCACCAGCGATCCCAGCGTCAGCCAACCCACAGCAATGCATGGCGCGCGTGGCCGCTTCCAACCTGGAGATTGTTGCCTGGCCGGAGATGGCTCCGTTTTTCGCGACGAGGGGGAAACCCAGCAATCTCCTTGAGCCTCCATATTTTAAACACACCTGGAGAAACAAATCTGGCGGTGATCAATATGGCGGAAGCCGAAAAATTTCGGCAGTCAAAAGCACAGTTTCGTTTTGCAGTCTATGAGGCTCGGTCACCAAGTCGGTCAACATCTCCAATCGTTTGTGCTCGTTGGGACATGGGCCGACTCCCCTTAGCGCAAAAGCAAGAGGGCTCGATTTGGCGAGTCAATAAGCCTGAGCCTTTCCAACCGCCAAACTCGCAGCAGCCCGGGCTGCACCATCCGATACGCGGACCTGCAAGGTGCCGCGCAGGTTTCCCAGGAGTCGGCCTAGCGAGTGACCGGCAGCCTGCTTGGGGCTTTAGAAAACCACGTTGAAAGAAGCCGGAGAGTTTCCAGCTGTCTACACCACGCCTGACCCACTAGCAACCTAGAAGTTCGAGCTCTGTACCCCCACACCCTATCATTGAAATTGTGTCGCTTGACTGTCTGCATAGTTGAGCTTCTCCTCGACCAAACGTGGCATGGTTCTCGATATAGTCCTGAAAAGGGTAGGCGGCGGACTGTAAAGCATGACATCATGTTTCGCACGGAGCAGGCCTTGGAAAGGGCAAAAGCCTTTTAGTTTGTCTATCGGGCGAACGCACAAGAATCTAATGCAAAGCTAAGTTCCAGCATGTGGGAAGGATGTTGCCCGGCGGCGCTGGGTCCTGGACGAACATCACCCGCCAAGGCGTCGGTGGTGGGCCAGCAGCCCTTCTCTTCTGGCTGAACCTTGCGGATCGGAGACATGTGTTGGTCATCAAGCCACCCGGAAAACATGAGGCTTGTTTTGTCTGGGTCACCTTTCCAAACCCGAACAGGGGGCTTCCCAAACAAAGGGCGAAAAAACACGCCTTTTCTTTGCAAATCACACTGTGTCTATGTCGCACAGGAGCTCGTATCTGATATCTCCGGTAGCAAGGAAGCAAATCACTTTCCAAGCTTCACAAAGCACAAAGACGGAGTAATTCTCATCCATCGACTCAAAGGTGCACACAACTTCGAGAAGCAAAGGATCGGAGCCAGCACGGCGTCGCATCTCGCGCAGGATTGCGCTGCGTAAGAAGAGCACAAAGGGGCTGAAATGGCGCAAGGATTGGACTGAGTTTACATTCCGAAGAAAACCGCGACCACCAGGCTCGCTGAACAGGACATTAACACAAGTACGAGAACCAGGCCCAGAAAATGCGAACTGATTGTCGGCGCGTTCTCGAGCATTTGAGGCAGCAGCCTTGAACCTTTGAACGGATTCGACGCGTCTCAAGATCTGATATATATTCTTGCCAGTAAGGCACCCAACACCAGCTAAGACGTTGAACAAATACCTCCTCCTTGGACATATGCGTCCCTTCAGGGCTCTGCCATTGCAAGCGCGGGTCAGAATCGGCAAAGATCTCGAACATACTGCCCTTGTGCTGCAGCACTACCAGTACAGGCATTGAAGTAGCGATGGTTTGGGCCGAAGCTTTCGGGAACAAGTCCTTCGGCTGACGCCCGCGTTGCGCGCTTTCTCGCAAAAGCTGGTCGACGCCGTCGGTGATGGACCCCCAGTTGTCCGCGAAGCACTTGCAAGCCACAGCCATTCGGCTAAATGTTCTCGCTGCAAAGTAGGCCTTGGTGCAAGCTTGCTCCGGGCTTTGGTTCAACAGAACCTTCTCCAAGGCCACCGTGCAAAAATCGTATGGCTCGTCATTAAGTTTGAGCGTCTGCAGCAGGGAAAGAATGCTCGTGTTTGCGGGCGCTTGCCGGCCAGCCCGCCGCGCATAAAGAAATCGCCCAGGAAAGGTTGGCGCGGCTAAAGTTGCAATGGCACGTGGAAGGCGCTGATACCTTGTTGCGCGCGGCTCATCGGTTCCTAGGCCGACAGGGAGGGCCGGGTTGACAGCGCCAACCGGGTTGACAGTGCCAACCTACTGACGGATCAAAGGATGTCAGCTGCTGGCGGATTGATCTGGGCAAAGATCTATAATGAAAATAAATGCATCCCCTCACAGTGGAAGCAAATTAAGCTTGTTTACGCCCGAAGCTGATTATAACTTCTGTTCAAGTCAATGGGCTTACTCGACTGGGCTTGCCCATTCAACTCTGTGCCAGGCAGGGTCGCCCCAACAAAGCCCAACTGGTACAATCGGAGAGCCGAAGTCCGAATCAGGGCCCAGTTAATTTGAGGACTTTGAGATCCCCATCCCGTGAGTCATGGGATCCCAACCTCCTCCGTCAAGCCCTCCCCCTGATTTCCCTCAACTGAGACCTGCGTTGTGAGGGAATTCCATTTTAAGGAACTTCAGGAGGGCGATTTCCGGGCGCTCTAGTTCTGGAAAGGAGGCCCAGCCAAAAGGGGAAAAAATCGGTGCCACTCAGCTGGGTCAATTCTAGCTTTGTGCACCCAGTGAGCTAGGCCTAAGGCCCGACTCGAGGCGCCACGGTTGAAACTAGGGCAACGGCTCCCACAAGAGGAGCTGATTTTTCTGGCAAGCCCCTGCAAAGCAGCCATGACCATCCATGTAAAACACTAACAAAGCAAGCGTTCTTCCGCTTACTACAAGCAAATGGCGCTCCGGTCCGTAAATTAAATTGGTCGACCTCCCATGGCAACCAACGCCATATTGACCACTGCCAGATTTGTTTCTCCAGGTGTGTCTCAAAATAGGGGGCTGAAAAAGATGGCTGGGTTCCCCCCTTGTCGAATAAAAACGGAGCCACCTCCGGCCAGGCAACAATCTCCAGGTTAAAAACGGCCACGCGCGCCATGGAGTGCTGTGGGTTGGCTGACGCTGGGATCGCTGGTGAGCTTCGACAAGCCCTGTCTGAGCCACTGAGAGGAGCCTATTGCTGGCTCGGTCTTTGACCTACTTCCGATCGAGTGGGTCGGCCAAACAAAAAGTCCAACTTGATATTTACCACCAGACTGGTCCAAGCCTAAAAAAGACTAAAGTCCAGGAACTCAGGGAGTGAGTTGACCCCTTGCAAAAGGTCCAACTTGTTGCAAATGAATTCGTGGTGAAAGGGACACCAAAGGGAAACCAGCGGTTTTGGGGTCCAGCATTTTGAGACCCGCCCAGGTTCATGTTTGCTGGTTTGGGGTCGAGAAATCATATCCCTGTTCGTCCAACAGTAGCTTCAAGTAACCCAGAAATGTCCAACTGGGACATCCCCAATAGTTATGGGGGGTCTGTTTTGAGACCCCGAGACCTGTTTTAGAGGGGAAGCTGGGCACCCATTGCAGGGGCTTCCCCTATGTTGAGACATATGGGTGTGAATTGTTGTAGGGACTCTTTGGCGGCCATCATTAAAACCCAACCACGAAATTTGGTTGGCCGGGGCCAAGTGTTCGATGTTTTGGCCCCGCC